GAATGTCGCCACGGAGCGAGAACAGGACTTCAGATACCAGCTTCGAAAGTATGTTTGCTCTAGGCGCAACTCACTGAAACTTTCCAAAACCTGGGTTCCTTGTATGTTTGTGTGTTTCCCTGTTGTTTACTAGATGCAGGAGTGCACGTGCTTAATTTTCATTCTGAGTCAAAAGGCGGCGGATGATTCGCTAGACGTCGCGAGGAATATGGGTTTGTCTCAAATAGGGGAACCCCTAAAATGTTTGGTTTCCTTTGGTTTCCCGGTAAAAACCACAGAAAAGGGGTATCCTCAGAGAAAGACATCCATTTGGTATCCCAAGCGCACCATGCTAGATCGGAAGCCGATGGTTGGCAGCTACAAGCGTTTCTACGTAGGGGGTGGGGGAATCCAATCGCAACAACATCCAGGCTCAGACGAAGTGGGCACAGGCAAACGATCAAACGATGGAGCGCTAGTAATATAGGTTTGGCGCCATTTTTCCAGAATCAGCTACGCCTGCAGTTAGACACCATCATGTGCCCGTTTGTCCTCAAAGGGGGTGCCTATTTAAGGCACGTTCTGATGGAGCGCCCCCCAGCAGCAACAGTTCTTCATGGTCCTTGCCATTGAGGGCTCCCTTGTTTCTTTGTTTGCCAGGGTCAGTTGGCAAACCTGTCTGCGCGGGACTTATGGCTATATGACTTAGAGGGAAATGATGGCGCATCTCATCCACTTGATGGGCAAAGAAGTGGAGTGCCAGGCCTTTCGTGAAAAGCCTTGCCGCTGTCCATTTGCTCGCGCGTGTGTGCGCTCATTTCCAGCACAGAGTTGCAAGTTCTGACCGTGCTCTCAATTGAACCCTGGGATTACACTTGGAAATTGCCCCAAACTGGCAACCGCAACACCCAGGTTTATATTAGCAGAAATATCTATCGCTTAAAAGCTGCCAAGCGGGTTCCAATTCCTCCCGTCACTGTGCAACCCGGGTCAGGACAGCAAGGTGGAAGAACTACGGATTCAGGCAAGGAGTCAATGGAGCGCTTGCCGTGAGAGCTATAAACATTGCCGAAAGTTGGCGGTCGCTGCTGTTTGAGTGTCCGGGAGAAACCGAAGCAGCTCAACTCGCATGAATCACGCAACTCGGTTTTGAAACTGATCAACTCACTGCGCCCTCTGGTGGATCCAATTTTGATGCTTTCATGTGCCTTTGAGTTCGCGCAATGTTGGCGCCTAGCATGCCACTTCCACAACAGAGAACATGACACCCAGCGACAAAACACAGCGTCCGAACGGCTAGGCAAGGGGAGTGCTGATACCCAATCACTCAGTCGGCCAATCGGCCATTTGCTCCTGTACATCCAGGCATCGAACCATGCATGTACCAGTCGTGCCGGCCGTGAATGTCGGACCATCGTTCGTAAGCAAAGGCGAGCATCTGTTTAGTTAACCTTTCACCTTGGCATACGGGTGTGGCTCAAAATTTAAGAGCTAGTGGACCGCAGGTTTTAGTTTTAGTCTACTTTTTCATTTTTCAACGTTCCATGTCGGGCCGATTCCTATGTTTGAGCCACACCCATGTCTATTTACAGTTCTCTGTTTTCTGTCACGCCCGTCAGCGCCCTAAGCGCACATGCAGCATTCCGAGGACACTTCGAGGTTAGGTTGGTGCTGCTGTTTCTGGAATTGGGGGCTGCTGCAAACGATGAGTGACAAGATCTCCACTAGAAAGAGCTTGTTTATATAGCATGCTTCCCAAGTCAAAATACCGGACAGTGTGATAGGAGCCAGAAATAATTGGTACCCGTATTGCTTCCAAATAGTTTCCACTAAGTACCCCAACTGGTCCCATTTTCGCGCAGGCCGCCAAGGCCACCCCCTCATTCCAGATGCCAGACAAGCCGGCGTTCAAGTTCACCCCGCTGGGCACTTGAGACGTGTCCACTTTGATCTATAGCTTGCCTCTCGACTGTGCCGGTTTCGTCACTCGCCTTGCTGGCTAGGCTTCCAGGCCCAAACTGGGTTCCTTGCAAAGATGGGTGTGTCTTTTTTAGAGGGCCTCCAAATTGTGGTTTTCCTTTTGCTTGAGGGGTACCCTCAAAAAGAGACACCCGTGTCACTTCAGTTCTCGCCAAAGGGCCGCTTCGGGCCCACTGAGGTCTGTGGGGTCGTGGCTCCAGAGCAAGCCCCCTCAGGCAATGTTGGGCTTTGCTTGTGGTTTCAGCAAGACCCTGGACCCCATGTACAGGGCCCCTCAATCACCTTGGAAAGACACGGCCGTTGGATCCGAATCGTAGATTGTCCACTCCTGCAAGGGCAAAAGGGAAAGACTTGCCCACAGTTCCTTTCGTTTTCGTTTTTCCACCCTTTTTCAATGGGGTCCAATGCAAGCCCATACTTTGGTGAAGGGGGAACCCTGACCGGAGTACTTCGTGTCCGGTGGTGCCCGCGCAGGCAGAGGACGCCAAGGCGCCGGCGCGCGCGCGAAGTGGGTACAGCTTTGACAAAGGCTGACAGATGGAGTCATGGGTCAAAGACAATCATGATACTCCAAAGAAGGTGCTAGGAGCTACTCCCCAAAGTGCGCATTGGTTTTGGTTCGCTGAACATGGCATGAAAGTTACATTACCCTGAAAGTTTGACCCCCCGTAAAAGCGGCCAGTGCAACAATCGACTGGAAGAACCAAGGTTGTTGTTTTTTTCCACGAACAGCAGCGGATTAGCCAACTGCAACCGAAGGCGGTGAAGGATCTGCAGGCGGCCATTGCTGAGAAACGGTTTCTCCTTTTGGTAGCCCTGAAAACTGAACCTGCTGGGACCCTTGGGGAGGCTCTACGTTTTTCTTTGAGCAAATCAGTTGGTCTGATTTCACGCGAACTTCCAGAAGTGATGCTTTGGGGCAACGTGTTATGATTAAGTTATGATTGCCCTTTTGTTTGACCCCTTGCAGGCCCACAGTTCATTGCTTTATGTCCTTTTCCTTTCCTCTTTCTTCAGGGGTCCCTATATTTCCTTTTTGAGAAAAGTTTGCGGGCCTCGGGAAAAGTCTTGGGTCGAGTTATTCCCTTGCGACAATTGCAGCAGACCTCAAAGCCTCCGGGCCCTCGGTTTTCTTCCAGGCACGCAAGCGCTTCGCAATAAGGCAGGTTGCCCTGTCATTGGGGACCTGCTCACTTTGGTTGCAGACATTCGCATCCTTTGCAAGGGGATACCGTCGAGTCACAGTGGACTAGACGGAGGTTTCACAAAGAGCGCCTTCGGGCGCCGCGCTAAGGAGCACGGACTCGGGCTGCGCTCACGTGCAGTCCGAAGAAAGAGACGGCCGGTTTTAATCGTCGCCTTTTTGGCCCATGGAAGCTGCTTATTTTCAGGGGAATAGGGAGCCCGGAGCCCTGTTCTTCTCTCTTCTCCTTTTATTCCCTTTCCTTCGCTTCAATTGGTTTGCTTTCAATTGCTTCCTTTCAATTGCTCTGCTTTCAAACGACTTTCTTTCAATTGCTTTCCTTTCAAGCGCTTTCCTTTCAATTCCTTTCCTTGTCTGCCCCTCCCTCCTTTCCTTTTCCCTTCCTTTTCTCTTTTCTTCTCTCTTTCCTTCCCTTTTCCTTCCCTTGCTTTTTGAAACCACACAAACCACACCGCGAGTTTATGGTCTATCCACCGAAAGTCCGAGGGTTGCGCGTGCAAAGTGAAAACACGAAAAGGACGCCGAGTTGCTTGCCGCATGCTGCGCAGGAGGCACCTACGTATTGGACTCTGTGGCGCACAGAGGAGGGCAAGAAGCCCAGTGCAGTTGTAGTCATTGAGGCACGCTTTTACATATACTTGGAGCTCGAGCACTGTTCAACGCGCTGAAGCTTGGCAGCTTCTGACTGCTTGCTCCCAGGTAAATTTTACTTCCACAACGAAGACACCGACAAGACCGCCTGGGATCTTCCTCCTGGTGGCGTGGCGTGGGCCGCAGCCCCCCATCTGACAGCCACATGTCCAGGGGTGGGTGGGGCCTGAATTTCAGTCATTTTTTTACTATGGTTACAAATTCAATCCCTCACAAACTATTTATTTTAAGGCTACGTTTGTCCCATATTGATTGCTGTGGAACAACTAAGATCGCACATGTTGAGTTTGTTCTACTCCTTCCTTGCATTCGGCACGACCTTTGAACGCATGTTCCTCTGAAGAAACACGTGTTACTCGTTTGGTGTCACAATGGCGCCAACGGTAAACACGTGCTTCTTCAGAGGAAAATGCGTTCAAAGGGTCGTGCCGAGATGCAAGGATAGGAGTAGAACAAACTCACATGTGCGATCTTAGTTGTTCCACAGCAATCAATATGGGACAAACGGTAGCCTTAAAATTCAATCCCTCACAAACTATTTATTTTAAGGCTACGTTTGTCCCATATTGATTGCTGTGGAACAACTAAGATCGCACATGTTGAGTTTGTTCTACTCCTTCCTTGCATTCGGCACGACCTTTGAACGCATGTTCCTCTGAAGAAGCACGTGTTACTCGTTTGGTGTCACAATGGCGCCAACGGTATTGTGGAGCTGATTTGTAGATGAAAACGCAGGTTCGCAAGAGGCATACCTGTGGCTTCCTGGAGGGTGCATTTTTCTGCTGCTTGGTTAACAGCAAAGTTTTCCCCATCGAGATGGCATGCTTTTTGGCGAAACGACATTTTGCGGCAATTTTACCCGTCTCATTGGGCGACCTTCGGAGTGGCATGCTTTGAAATGGCCGTTTTGAACACAAACGGCGCTTTCGTTCTTCGCGAAGACAAATGTCTTTTCGCAAGCGGCAAAAAACCACCTTCCGGAAGTCGCAGGTATGATCATACTATCTGTAGCACACGCGTGTCACAGCGGCACAAGAGGAGTGATCTTGCTTGAGCATCGGTCATCCAGTTGGGGCACACATTTTTTCCGGGTGTTTTTGCGCTTGAACACATCGGCCCCCGACATGACAAATCCCATGTGCACATGGTGGCGGAATCGCTTCGCTGTGCAGGTCTATTTGGACGAGGCCTGGTCCAGCCCGCTTCTGGAGGGGTGCGTACTGGTTTTGGTCCAAGTTGGTGACTTGTTTTGATCCTCATGTTTGCTTTCTTGCACGGCCGCGCCAGATATGTGTGCGGCGTTAGAGCAGCGTGTTTCGCGAGACCAGCAGTGACAGGTGAAAGTGACCCAGCAAGCGAGGGTCGAAGAGTGTGCTTCCCGACCCCCTCATCCCCGCCTATGTTTGCCAGTAAAATCAAGAGAGTGTTTTTCCGACTCCACCTCGAGCCCCGACTATGTTGAGGTAACGACCAAAATGAAAAGGCCAATGAGCAAAAGCACGCAAACGGGGAGAAATCGGCGACCCAAATGTGTGAAAGCTTCTTGAGTTCAATGTCCAGCTGGAGGACGCGCTCTCCATGTTCTTGGAGCAGGACCTCCGCCCGGGCACGGAGGAGATCCTGGCGTGGCGACGGGGGTGGGGGCCAGGCCCTTAGGCCCGCTCATCTTGGCTGGACCAAACGGCGCAAAGCGTAGCGCGCCCTTCACATGCCCCATAATGCACCATCCAATCCCAGTACAACACGATGCAACCTTCTCCAGACAACCTGCTTCAGTCGTTTATGTGGATCAGAAACTGCAATTGAACAAAAGCAATTGTTCAATTCAATGAGCCAATCCGCTGGGATTGAACATCCGGATGACATGTTCAATCCTAGCACCCCTTAAGAGACGCCTTCAGAAGTTGAGCCACAAGCGCAAATCAATTCGGGACAGATTCGTGCACTGAACCTCTTGCTCAGGCAGTGGTGCTCCCCGCCACCCTCGGCGGTTATCCGGGACTCACGCACAGAGCGGCGCCTTGGCGGCGTGAGAGGGACGCACATCGCCGCGCGATTGCTCAAGCAACCCGATTTTTGAAGCAGCCATATCCTTTCTACCTTTTGCCCCACCTGTGTGCATCTTCGTGGCACAAATCCAAGGTCCCTTGCAGTGTTTGGCCATCCATGTTTTGAACAAAGTAGTCGTGCAAAGACCCCCTCCCCCAACCACCCTGGAACTGAGCAAAGGGGTGCGGACAAATGGATTTGGGCACTGTTGGGTTTCCATTTCGTGTCCCTTCAGAGATAAAACGGCTCCAGGACCCATATCTAACAGAAACCTAAATTTAAACAATCGCAACAGAGACTCCACGCACTTTCTACTTTTTTGCGGGCCTAAACATCCTTGAACAACCAAGCGGAACTATTATAGCGGGAGCTATGCGAGCGCGTTGAATCAGAAAACAGCATTGGACTTAGAGTGCATAGGGCGCATGGGATGTTCAATGGTTTCCAGAGTGTTTCCAAAGTGGAAAGCATTTGGCCTGTTCTTTCTCTTCTGAGCCTTGGGCAGTTCCTCAATGGCAGCGAGCATGATGGCAACTTCACGAGACTTCTCAAATTTGAAAGGGCATGTGAAGCCTTGAACTTGTTGTTTGCAGGAATGGACACTCCCCCCAAGCATCCGCTGAGCGAATCAAAGCCAGGTGGTGAAGAATAGTCGGATCGTTGGCAATGAGCTAGGTGCAGAAAGCCTTCGGCCCTTTTGACTCTTTACCATTGGGTTTTGGGCGGAACTGTTCAAGTCACCAGGCCTCGATTGACCCTTTCTTTGTTCATAGCAGGGAGGAATGCCTGCTAAGACTCATTCCCCTTTGCCCCAAGGATCGTTTAGCCCGCCGCTTTGGTTAACGCCGCTCCTGTTGGTTTTGGCTTCGGGCAAGGTCGTTTTCGTACGAGACGACTCTGGAGGCACCAGGGGCTTTGGCTGCGATCTCTGTGGGCTGGGCCGGTCGATGCAGGTTCACTTTGGCAAGCCATCATGGTAACTGATGAAAGGGCCGACCCCAAATGTTGGTGACCCACCAGAATGGTAGAACAATTTGGGGGCCAGAGCGGCCTTTCCCAAGTTTAGGTCGGGAGACGACCAGCCCCGAAATGACAGTGATGGCGCGGATTTACAAAGCTCAGCTTTATACATTCCAGAATGAGTACGCTGGGTTGCTAGGCTTTTGAGGTTGGGAGGTCCGAGGACAGGTTTAAGGCTGCGCTTGTCTCTTACCTGGGGGTCCGGTGACAATTGCAAAACACACGTTTACTGCAGATTCCAGTCTCATGGCGCGTTCTTGTCGGCATGTGTCCCAGAGTGAAGGCACTGTGTTTCCCGCGCATCTGTAGGACATCCCATCTTCTCCATTTGAATCAGCATTGCTGGAGCTTCCTTTGAGATTTTGACGGGGGGGAACAAGACTTTATTTTAGGGGTCCCTGATTAAAGGCATGTTGGTGGCCCCTGGATTGTGGGATTGATTGTGGGCAGTTTTTAAACAAGAGACATGTAGAACATTCGAGTTTGGGGAAGCTGAACATTTTGCATGTTGTGAAGAGCAGGCCCAAATCAAACGACAAAGCCTAAAGCTTCGCCAGCATCACCTGGGCTGTCCTTATTTAACGAGATAAGAGGACATTGCGCCGGCCGTTTTTCCCGAAAGCATCGCGAAGGGTTCTTCCGTGCGGAGCCCTTGGACAAGTTACACAGACAAGTTGCACAGAGCCAAGTTACTTAGAGCCAAGTTACATAGAGCCAAGTTACATAGAGCCAAGTTACATAGAGCCAAGTTACATAGAGCCAAGTTACATAGAGCCAAGTTACATAGAGCAAAGTTACATAGAGCCAAGTTACATAGAGCCAAGTTACATAGAGCCAAGTTACATAGAGCCAAGTTTACATAGAGCCAAGTTACATAGAGCCAAGTTACATAGAGCCAAGTTACATAGAGCCAAGTTACATAGAGCCAAGTTACATAGAGCCAAGTTACATAGAGCCAAGTTACATTAGAGCCAAGTTACATAGAGCCAAGTTACATAGAGCCAAGTTACATAGAGCCAAGTTACATAGAGCCAAGTTACATAGAGCCAAGTTACATGAGCCAAGTTACATAGAGCCAAGTTACATAGAGCCAAGTTACATAGAGCCAAGTTACATAGAGCCAAGTTACATAGAGCCAAGTTACATAGAGCCAAGTTACATAGAGCCAAGTTACATAGAAGTAAATACCCAATATTAGAGCAAGTAGGCATAGATCCAAGTTACATAGAGCCAAGTTACATAGAGCCAAGTTACATAGAGCCAAGTTACATAGAGCCAAGTTACATAGAGCCAAGTTACATAGAGCCAAGTTACATAGAGCCAAGTTGTATAGAGCCAAGTGGCACAGAGCCAAGTGACACAGAGCCAGGTGGCACAGAGCCAAGGTTAGGTAGAGCTTGCGTAGAGCTTCGGCGTAAGCAGCTATGTAAGTTAGTTCAGGTTTCTAAGGCGCCGGGGCGGGAGTTTGATCATCGCTCGGGATTGCGACCCTCTGCGGAGATCCGCGTGGTCGATATTAAAAAACTGAGGACTTGTCACGATTTCTGCAAGCCGCGCGCGACCCTCTGCGGAGATTCGCGTGGTTCAAAAACTGAGGACTTTTTACGATTTTTAGCATGCGAGCGCGACCCTCTGCGGAGATTCGCGTGGACGAGGTTAAAGAACAGAGGACTTTTTACGATTTCTGCGGTGCGCGCGCGACCCTCTGCGGAGATTCGCGTGGACGAGGTTAAACAACTGAGGACTTTTTACGATTTCTGCAAGCCGCGCGCGACCCTCTGCGGAGATTCGCGTGGTCGAGGTTCAAAAACTGAGGACTTTTTACGATTTCCGCGGTCCGCGCGCAACCCTCTGCGATGATCCGCGTGGTCGAGGTTAAAAAAAACAGACAATTTTACGATTTCTGGCCTGCTTTAAGTTATGTCTGCGCGGACCTCTGCGGGATTCGCTACGGTTGGTCTGAGGTTAAAAAAATGAGACTTTTTACGATTTCTGGGCGGTGCCGGGCTGCGGTCTGCTGCGGGGGATACGTGCGTGTCGAAGCGCTCTCGCTGTGGCGCCGTGCGAATTTGTTGCTCAAGCCCACGGTCGCGGGCTCGATTCCCCCCTGGTCCGCGGCAGCTCCGGCTTGAAAATAGAAGTACAAACGTAGTACGCGGAGCGTGCTCCTGCAGCTCCGGCTGGAAAATCGCAACTTTTAAGTACAGACGTAGTATGCGGAGCGTGCTCCCGCAGCTCCGGTTGGAAAATCGCAACTTTTAAGTACAGACGTAGTATGCGGAGCGTGCTCCCGCAGCTCCGGCTGGAAAATCGCAACTTTGAAGTACAAAAATAGTACGCAAAGTACATTCCCTTAGCTCCGGCAGCACTTGCGCAGAGCAACTTGCGCAGAGTCACTTGCGCAGAGCAACTTGCGCTCTGCGAATTGCACAGAGCAGTTGCACAAAGCACTTGCGCAGAGCAACTTGCTCAGAGCATTTGCGCAGAGCAACTTGCACAGAGCACTTGCGTGCAGCAGCTTGCAGAGAGCAACTTGCGCGCAGCAGCCTGGAACAATGCAGCTTGCGCAGACCACTTTCGTGAGAAATCGCGCGGCGCAGTTCGAGAGGAAACTAGGATGATGAGATGGAGCTCTCATGTGACCATACACATTGAGCATCGCCGCGCGCAGACACGCTCGCCGCAGCGATGTAAAAAGGTGTCTCCGCGGCTGGATGAGCACCTGGGAAAATGCTTTCGGGCCAATCGTCCTCTAGTTTGTTTTGCTAGGCGAGGCAACAAGACTTTATTGTAGGAGGCCCCTGAAGTACATTACCTCCGCTGCTCTCCAACGAGGCTGATTCTCACTCGCACACACAGAAGAGCCATTTTTGGGACCTTGCGCATGTGGTCGTATTTGCTGGACAGTGGCCGCGGACAGCCGGATTGTTGTTCAGCAACATGTTGACAAAAGCTGCATAATCCCGAATGTCAGTGTCATGCGGCCGAGGCCATAGAGACAGAAATTGCTTGTCAAAACGGAAGAGACGTTTCGCCCACATAGACGTGGCTGGGAGCCACTCGCGTTCCCAAACGTACAGCCAAACATGCCCTCGTAATCTTTTTGCTTTGGCTTGCAGGCTGATTCCGAGGTGGAGGCTGGCGATGCGTTCCCCCTGGAAATGTTTGGCCTCTCAGTATCCAAGTATACAACCAAAAACAACACAGTGCAGCCGCTTGAATATGGACGTGTTTGTCACAAACCTAGGAAGCAGTCCGTGTTGCAAATGCACTGATTGTGGATTGTGCTGGTTGTGCGTCTCCTTGGATTTGCTGCCGTCTATGCTAAGGAAAGGGCTTCTTTTGCATTCACACTCATTGCAGTTGTCTAGTCAAAAGTCGTGTTATAGCCGGTTTCGTGTTCATGCCTTAAGACATTGGAGGGGAAAGGGTTCAGCAAAACAAACAGAAACGGAATCCCCCTGCTTGAACAACCTTCGTGTTCTGTTCTAGTTGCGTGAGTTGGTTTCCGGTGAGTAAAAAGACGACTCAGCACAGGTTGGAGGCAACTGAGATGCTGGCAGAACAAGGTAAGCAGGCTTTCGGTTGTGTCCTTTTAGTCGTCATTGGGTGCTTCGTTCTCATGGCCGCCGAAGGGGTTGAACTTGCTGAACAAGTAGGGGGTTGTTGGGTTTTTCTTTGGGTTCCATGCAATCGGCGCTGAAGGTTCTACCCGGTTGCCTGTGGCCATTGGACAGAGATAGTTATTTTGGATTGAGATGGAACAGGGCTTGGGTTTAGTCGAGAGTTGATGGCGCCTTTTGGCGGCCGAGAAGGCTCCAACTCACACTGGTAGATGTGTTGGAGGAGACACGACTCATTCTCCCATCCCCATCAACCAACCCAGAAGTCAGAATCTGCTACTGTTGATTCCTTTTGTATTTTTTTGGCTTGAGCATGCTTTAAACCAGTCACAGCCTCTTTTCCCGTTTTTTGGTGGGAATCTTTGCTGAACTAAAACTTGGGCTGCCCGCAACCGGCTT